TCACTACCGGCCAAAACTAACATGGCCATCCTTTTAATGAAGACAAATGAAGTGTTTAATTGTGCAAGCCCATTGCCCTTTCCACCTGGCGGTGCATGGAAAACACAGCTGCCAAGGCAGCGTGCAGCTGAGCGATGGGCCTCTTGCTCTACAAGCTGCCTCGGCCACTGAATGCTCCCCCTGCTTGCCACCCCAACTAGCCCTTAGCCCCACTCGCCCAACCTCAATTACTTCGAACCCTGACACCCTGCCAAAAGTCAGAACGATCTCAGCATTTATTCACCCTGAAGGTTTTTTAAAAGTAAGAAAAAAAATGCCCCTGACTGTTACTGCCTGAGGTGCAATTGAGCATGTAAAAACATTAAAGCCCGAATTGCTTGGCATGTGATGAAGTGAGAGAGGCAGAGGGCAGAGAGGGAGAGATGTCTAATAAAACATCCAACAGAAAAGATGAGGAGGGAGAAAAGGTGAGAAAATAGATTAACAGCACAAAAGGACATAACCACCATTCCATGAAACGTGTGAAGACAGGCAAAGTGGAAGTGTCTTCACACCGGACCTCAAATCATTGCTGTAAAGTGGGGTTCTAATGACTATCATTACCAAACACTTAACTGTCACAACCAATAATATCCTGGCCATTATTGGTGTGGATAACAGAAAATGTGACCGATAGCAGCAATCAGTGCATCCTGACCCTGGACAAGCATTAGGTGGTTTACAGAGCAAAGGAACTGCTTCCAAGTACTGTGTTTACTTTAAAACTGCACTGATTAATATTTCTTATATTAACAACTGGTCAAATGATTATGTGCAATGTGGAAGAGTTTTCTTAATGATAAATCCAGAAAAGAACTGTCAGCCCAGTCTGCAATTTGTCTCAGCTATACAGAGTTTTTTTAAAGCCCTTTTTAGCTTTTTGTTTTGGGCTTTATAACAGTGAAAGTTAGCAATTAGCAAGATATTTCTCTCAAGAGTTGGACCAAACTAGCGCTAAAAGATGACTAATTAATGCACTTTGTCAGATGACCCGGGAGTCCAAATAAAAGTTTTCATGTAAAGAAACTTTTACATCTTGTGTGTTTAAAGCAAAAAGCACACATGTAACAGCTTCCATGCAGTTACTGGTCAGTGCCCGGATGGGAAACAGTTTCACACAATACAAGTAGAAACTGACACATGTATACACACACACACACACACACACACACACACACTCATCCGGTAAATGAAGGATCACCTTTCAGTAACCCACTTTAAAGTTGTGTGTTGACAGGATGATCATATTTGCTGTCTAGACTGCAGCCAGCTGAGGAGAAAACCGTGTGCTGAGTCGCTCTATCGCTTTTTCTGTTTTCCAAAGGCTGTTTCTTTCTACTCTATCCCAACTCTCAATTTAACATTCTGACAATGATTAGAAGTTTCAGAACACTTGTTCTCTGTCCTTCTTTCTTTTCCTCTTTCTCTGTCAATCTCCTTGAGGTTGAGTAGAAGCTGCCACCTGTGCATTGCCTTTGGAACAGAGATTGGGTTTCAATCCAGAGATTGGGTTTCAATCTCCACTTTAACCTTTAAAAGTTTCAGTTTTACAGTGATAAATAGTCACAGATTAATTATCTCCCTGCAGTTAAGCAAATCTGACAATAAAACAAAACTTAACAGAGTTTATCACCATTTTGAAACATATGTTGCAGGTTCTGTTCAGTTTCTGCACAGGATCAAACGAACATGCTGGAAAAATTCATTCATGGCCAAACAATGACTGGGCATAGTCGTAGTGAGATTTATGACTGGCTTTTCTGTTTATCTTCACAGTCTTACTCTTTCAGTCATGTTACAGGGGAAAATAAAGACTTTCTCAGACTCTGCAGCCAACATTTCAGCCACCAGACCCCCCGCACACTTTGATTCAGGAGCTTCTCAACCTAATAAACTTACTTAATATTTGTTTATGAGTGCTGACATTGTTGAAGCTCTACAGTACATGTTTGCCATCACATAATAAATATGGGTTAATTTACAAAGGTATGTTAGGTCTTAGCTGTTTAAGACAGCTCTATTCCATCGAAGTAGCTCTTGCTGAGGCCGCCAGGAAAAACACTTCCTTCAGAGAGAACAATTCATCTATGGCCCTCTTGAGGGATAGGGTAAAGGGTGCTGGGCAGGTCAGTCTTATTGCCCACCAACCGACCCTGGCACATACTCATGAAAGTTAAACAAGAGAAAGCGAATACACTTTGGAGTCTGAGATCCGCCTCCTGGGTTGCTTGCTAATTAAGCTGCGTTTGTCTTGGCTTGGAATCAAACTTAATATTGAACCAAGATCCAACATAGTACAGCACTACAGGCGCACAGAGACCCAGATTGACTGAGTGCTGAAAGGAATCACAAGTGTGGCTCCTGGGAGTCTGCAGCCTCCCCATCTTAAGACGTGTTAGCATCATGCATATAGCAAAGGGTGGCCTTTCCATGTTAGAAACCACATTTTAACCTGTCCTGTAATTCAGATTACTGTGAGTAAACCTTGCAGGTGGTTGCATCCACTTTAACTATAAATAATTATGCTCTGACCTCGAACATCCTGTAAAAGTCATCCCACTCTCAGTCTCGTTCATCTTTTCTTTATTATCATGGCTTTTCTTTATTTAAAGGTCAGTGCAACTTTCCTGAGAGGTGCACATTGCAGAAAACACTGGCCAAGGGAGAAGTGATTACAACAATTTTAAGGTTAAAATAAAATGTAATTCTTCTTTAAAGCTAGCCAAATAACCATGGTTTAAAGTAATAATTATACATTTCTGTAAATATGCTTATTCATTTTCTGTGAGTTAGATGACAAGAATCATACCACACTCATGCTGTGAAATAAGTGTGGAGATAGAGCCAGGAGGAAATTAGCTTAGCTTAGCATAAAGACTGGAAGCGGGGCAGACAGCCAGCTTGGCCCCTCTCCAAAGTTTCAAAACCTCTAGAGCTCATAGATTAAAGAATTTCAAGATTTTAGGAAACGCGCTTATTAATTTGTATCCGGTGGAGAGCTTGATGAGAACTACATAAAGATATTAAATAGAAGGATACAACCAGCAGCTGGTTAGCTTACCTTAGCACAAGGACTACAGGGGGAACGGTTAACCTCTCTTTGAAAATCTGTGTACTTGCGCCTCTAAAGCTCACTTATCAACATGTTCTATCTCATACAAAAATCTGACTAAATTTTAGATTGTGTTTCAGAAAGTTTTATAAGTCTGTGTGTACAGGTTGAACAAATTAAAGTGATTTTTGGACAGAAGCTAGCTGTTTCACCCTGCTTCCAGTCTTTATGCTAGGTTAAGCCCTTCTGGCTCTAGCTTCATATTTAGCATACAGGCGAGAGGCGTACACAGGCGTATCGCTCTTCTCGTCCAACTCTTGGAAAGGCAGCAAATAAGTGAATTTCTCAAAATGTTGATCACTACCAAGGGACCTTATTTGCACCTGTGTGCTGATGGAAAAAACAACCAAATTCATTCTAATGAAACCCATAAAGAGCAACTGAGAAAGAGATGGCGTGAATACAGGATGTGGGAGTGAATACAGTTTGTGTGATGTTTGGTTTTGAAAATCACTCGCTGATGCAAATTCAACTATTTGCTTGAGGTCAGTGCATCATAAATCAAACTGCTGTTTGGTTACAATATGAAATCCAAATGCTGTAAAGATAGCCGTTTGTGGTTTCTAACTACAGTACTGTACGCATGTACCACTGCGTTTACATTCTTGACTTCTAACAGGGTTTCTAAATGGGTTTTCCATTAAGTGTGCCTTTGGGATATAAAAGAGCATGTAAAACACAAAGGCAGACCAAAATACTGTCAAATATATATCACTTTAAGGTACTAGGCAGGGCAAAGTTTACATGAACATTACACATACTAATAAAGAGTTTCTCTGAAAGACAGCATGTCCAGAATGATCTGATCCCCTCTTAAAAGTGAAACTGACCTCTGCCCGCCACTGATCTGTAAGGCTATCCTACACATGTGAATGTTCAAATAAGCCCTCGTGATCCTGCTTTAAAGTGTGATGGTGAGTTCAAGCAGATCATCTGTTTCAAAAGAAATGTCACTATATTTGATCAGTGTTCAAAGGCCTGCTGAATATTCTATATGTTAAGGTCAAAGGCTCATTTAGTCAAGCGTGGAAGCTTGTGAAAGGTACGTAGGGAGGACTTTTCACCTTTCACCTGATGGAGGAGGTCATATATGGGTAAAGCAGAAAAAACAGAGTACAGTCAGGTCAATTACACAATGTCATCACAGCAAATTCACCTCAACATCGCATTCCTGTTAGTGATAACGTAATACCGTTCGAAAACCTTTTATCAATTGTCACAGATTCTGTCTCAAATTGCGCCAGGACCAATCGCATCACAAAGGAATGATGAGATAGGCGAGCTGGACGTCGAATTCGGTGACAACAGCAGCTCAAGCCTCCCTCCGACCCAATTAGATAAACCATCTGGGTGAGAGATCGGCTTAAGAAAACTGCTACGGCCAGGACTCATGTCTCATCAAAGGTGATGACAGAGTGGGAGTAATTCGATGCAAAAAAGCCACCCCACCCTCGAACGTGTGTGAATGGGTGTTAAGTGCGTGCGTTTGCATGTGCTGCCCTGTTTCACATCAAGCTACGCCAGCCCGCCCTCCACTCCCAATGTCCCACGATCATCATTCATTTGTATTCATTACTGAGGTGCTATATGGCTGATTTTTCACTCCTCTGGTGTGTGTGTGTGTGTGTGTGTGTGTGTGTGTGTGTGTGTGTGTGTGTGTGTGTGTGTGTGTGTGTGTGTGTGTGTGTGTGTGTGTGTGTTACGTCAACACACTGCAATGGATTTATTGGCTGATATAGTTTCATCTGACATTCCAATTTCTTTCTTATCTCAGTTGTGAAGTTTAAAATTAAAAAGCACACAGGTGGAGTTGACCAATAAGTGCAGTGATTTCTGATCCGGCACTTACAGGGTCTTCTGGTTTTTGGCTGACATCATGGAGCGGCTCTTCTGGAAGGTGGTCTCGTCGAATCAGAGTGAATTCCCTGATGAACACTGCGTCTCCATCGTTGGCCAATACAGCAACCTGAAACACAAAGATCTTGTCAGATGTGTTCTGTAGGTCATTACAAAACCTTTTGACTACAAACATACACAAAAAAACACAGAATTCTAGGAGAAAGATCAAGGAGGCAGTGTGATGCAGCCAGAGGAGGCTTTCGCCCTGCTGTCAAAACAACACACTTTTGCCTTTAGTTAAGACTTCAACACTTCAAGCAAGGAAGGGGAGGAGCGATGATTGAAATCATGTCGTTATATACTTACTGTACATTGTTTTACATGTGTTTCAAGTACTCAGGGAGAAATTATTTTTGAATCTTTCACATTACACCTACATTTGACCAGCACCTGGATGAATTATACTGCTATGCTTTGGAAAATCAGCTGAATATATGAAAATTCTCCATTAACCTGGGAATTTAAATGCTGACTGATTGAATTAGGAACAATTAGCTGAAGTGGCAACTTGAGTCATTACATGGATGCAAAGCGTTTTTAAATATACAAAACAATGTTTTATTCCTTATTATTGAATTATGAATTGTATGAAATGTGCGGGGTTAAATAAAAAATAAAACTGAACCACACTTAACTCGAGCCCAGTGATGCAACCAGCTCTTTGTTATTCATACCATAGTTTTTACCAGCGGACTTTGTTATTTAACCACTCTACTCCGGAGCAATGGTGACAGTGGGAAACGTAAGTAAAATGTAGAGAAACGTCTGTTTCTGTTTGCAATCATTTACTGAACATTGTGCATTTTTTTCTTTTGGTTTGTGCTCTCAACCGCACATCCCTCTTGATGAGGGGAATCTCTGGAGGAATTCACAGCAGAAGAGATCTGATATCGGAAAACGTAGTAACCCACCTCTTCGAGGGAGACGGGTGAGGGGGGTGAGGGGCATCTTGGATAGGGCCCATTAGCAGCACAGCAGGGCCCGCATTCTCCAGGATGCACAAATTCACAGAGTGGGGGCCCTCAGCTCAGCTGCTCTCCGTGGGTCATAAACACCCTGTAATGCCCCGGGTCAACTGCCTGCCTCCCGGGCCTGTGCCAAGGCAGAGCGATGCAGAGCAGGGGATGTGGGTTTGGGGTACTTGAGGTTTATCACATTGTAGGGGGTTGCAGATTTTTAGTTGTGGGGCTGGGAAAAAAAGTGCTGCTTAGCAACTGCAGCAAAACTTACACCAGCTTTGTGTGGGAAAGACAGAGTGGACTCTTAAATAAGACAAATCAAATCTGGTCTAAAGCCCTACACTCAGCACTGCTTAGCTGCAGTCACTTACACTGTGGAGGCATCTGCAACAATACATAAGTCACAGCAGTAAAATGTGGGCAAAAGCCTCCTCGGGTGACCAAGATCATAATGTACCAGCACATTTTTGGTGGGTATGGACCTACACATGTGGCAGCTGTTGGGCCACAAAATAACAATTAGGTTTATCTGTTTCTTCAACAATGAATAAAAGATAAAAATTTTACTATTTATAATTAGCCACCTGTAAAGTGGTTGTATGCAGGGGAGCGTGAAAACTCATCTTATACCTGTGAGAAACCGGTAAAATACATAGCTTGAAATTCAATATAACGCATGTTTCTCAGATTGACTTGACAGTTTAAAGTCTTCTAAACTATAGACCCCAGAGACCTTAATGCATTTAGCATGGGAAACCAAATAACTGATATGAAACACCTTTATCAAAATAAAGCCTAGTATTGGATGACAGCATATAACATGAGATCTCTGCTGACATGGCTAACGTTGCACTGAAGCATGTCCTCCCTGCCACTGATGCTGAAAATTAAAATGTTGCACAACTACAAGCCAGAGGTAAAGCAAACATAAGTCAAGCATACGAATCTTATGTGAAGCTCTGTTTATGTGCTCGTGTGTGTGTGTGAGTGTGTGTGTCAGCTAAGATGTACTGAAAACCACTTAAGTGACCAGATGTCCTTGCTCAAGGCTAAATGGAGGCCCGGTTGAGATGAACATACTGATTGTCTGTTTCTCAAGAGATCTTTTCTCCCTATGCGCAGAAATTATTTTCTCACACACTCTTAGTGTCTTAACACCAGACAAATCTGACAACCATTTCCATGTCATTTTCCATCAAGTTTGCATCCATCCTCCCTAAAAGGCGTGTGATATGCTGGAACCAGACTGAGCCACAGGCTAATGTTGAATGACAGCTAAACTCTCCCTCGCTGGAGTCTTAAAAGGGGGATCTATCAAACTTGTTTCCCTGAGCAAACAAGCTGGCTGTCCAGTGCCAATGTCAAGCATCCTGCATACCCCCACTGGACTAAAACATTAGGATCTGGCAGAGGATTGAATATTTCCAAAGAGGGGCCAAGTACTTGGTTGCGCTGTCATGTAAAGAAAGGGGGTTGATGACACTGACAGCATCCCTTACTTGAAAACTTTATCTCCTATGAAATACATTTATATACTACAAATCAGCTTTGTCAAATATTTTCTTAACATATTTTCTGCCTGGATTACATTCACTGGCATTTTTTTCCCTCAACACAGGAAGTGTGGCATTCCTATCCCGCAGATAAATTGTAGAGAGGAGGTAAAAGGAAATATAATGGGTTAGGTCAAATACTGAAAATGTCAACGCATCCTGTGTCATGCTCCAACTCACTGTTCACTGTATTTAATGAAGACCATGATGTTTCCCTAACATTAAAGCTGCTCTCATTAGCAACACTAGCAGCTTCGCTCTAGGTTGGTCCACTACTTTGGTTCAAAATGAAAACATCTCAGCAATAATTTAATGGATTTTCATGACCAGGCATTCACTGTCTCCAGAGGATGAATCATAATGACTTTGATGATTACATGACGTTCTACTCTTATCTAGCGCCACCACACAAAAAACCTGTATGCTAATGACAAGGTGCAAAATGACAGACCAGCAAAGTTAGCAATTCCAAATGAATGCTACAGCTGCAACATGTCTGCTGGATGTGAAATAGGAAACTGTTTGCTAACATTTACAATTCTATAAGGTGATAATATGTCAACGTTGTGTTTATAGCTTGGTGCATTGCCCCCAAGTGGCCAAAAGCAAAAAAAAATTCAGATTGAAACAAGATCTTCAGCTGCCTAAACATAATCATACAACAATAATTACAGTTTAGTTGCCAGGAGCACATAAAATACGTTCACAGTTTACAGATACACTCAAATGCTTCCTCATTGTTGATTAAAAAACATAATCTGGATGGCATATGTTTCCTATAAAAAGTTGCATGCTATTAATGTAATCTTTAGGAGACATGGTTGTTATTTGAAGTCCTGTGAACTCTGGGTTGATGGCAGGAGCCCACTTTAACACCAATACATGGACTCTCTTCTAATGAGTGTGTTAGATTCTGTTCAAAGCATGCACTAACTCAAGCAATGTTTGAGTTTATTTGAAATGAACATGACAGAGGTTAAGAAAACACACACTCCTGGTTTGTTGGGCCGCCCATGATTGAAAGAACTAACTCCAACGGGTATCCCAGTCACCAAAACTACACTACGTGTGTGAGTGTGTGTGAGTCAATGTGACAAAGGGCAAGGGTGAAAGTAAAACAGGGAACCAGGCCGGTGATTCATTAACCTCCAAGGCGAGTTTGATTTCAAAGAGCACGTCTCAAGCAAGGAAGGGGAGAGGAAGTGAACTCAGGGGTAAGTCGGGTCTTCAAAAGCACATAATCAACAGTAATAACACCAACCTGATATTATAATTGAGCTTTCCTATAACGTGGTGCCAGCTTCCATTGTTTGGGTGGAAACTGTGAAAAGTGAGTGACTTTTACCATGCTACACTAGCCCAAAACCTAGACTTATGTTTTGCGCACTGCTGCCTTTGATTAATAAGATTCTGTCCAATGTTTAGATAAGAACACCCCTTTTTCAAGACTGGCTCCTGTCTGAATGAAACCTAAGAGGAAAAGATATTTTTGCTAATCCACTTTCAAGGGGATTTATGTGAGCTTTCACTTAACACATTTTGGAGGAGGAAACATTGTGGCCTTCTTTTCCTCTCTTTCTCTGCTCCTCTTACATAAGCTAGGAAAAAGGGCGCCCTTCTTCTCATCCGAGGTCTTTCACCCTATCTGTCCACGGCCCCCACACAGCGATCCGTTAGAGAATCAGTCCGCACTCCTCATGTGGAAATATGGGATTATGATGTACTTAGTTTATATATTTTCTCATTACAGACCAAAACCCACAGCGACTTCAGAATTTCAGGACTGATAAAAGGTAAGATTTCTAAAGGCAATATCAGAGTCTTGGCTCGCCTCAGGCAACAAGACACACTCAGGCGTAAAAGAGGAAGAAAACACTGATGGTTACAATTTTCACTTAAAGCGATACTTGCAATGAAGCTCATGAATAAGTTCTCTGGGAAACTAAATAAAACTGAAAGACCACTTTCATCACATTCTCTGATTCCTGATGGATTGTTTAGTTATCTTAATGTTCTTCCTCAGACTGCCTTTGAAGATGTACCTTCTCCCCAATTCCTCTGCCAGATTTCTCTCAACTTGATTTACATGTACTGATATCTGTCTCCAAAGTGCAGTCTGTCCTGCGAGTATGAGGAGAAGAGTGGCAAGGAGCTCAACTTGTCTCCATTGCTGCCCTCTTCAACTCCCACCACTTCTCATCTTGAACAGAAGAAGGAATGAAGCCTCCGGGGGGAAAGAAATCTACCTTTGATAGATGAAAAATTTTCCGGCCGCTGTCATCACATCCCTCTGCATTCACGCTCTGTTACTCCCATGTTTTAATGTCTCATAACGATGCGTGGCACCTTCCTAATGACGCATGAGCACTTCTTTGACACAGCCTTTTAAAGTCTTCATGAAACAGCAGGATATATTTTCAGTTGAAACAAGATACTGGTGCAGAACATAACACAGGGGAAGATCAGTTAAAAGTGTGAACCGAATGCAAGAAAAAGCAGCTTAAATTGATGGCAGGAAGAGAGTGATGTCAAAAATCTTGAATCTGAATTACAAAAATAAATTAAAATGCAATTTATAGTTTTATAGGACACTGTTCAGGCGAAATTGGTGGAAACCAAAACAGACAACAAACTCTAAGTGGTGAGATGTACCTCTCTGGCAGTCCAATGCTTTTACCATGGCTCATTGTATTTTTTGTAAATATTGTGCAATCTGGTGCTCCACACTGCTGCTTATTACTCTGACACTGCATCCCTCATTCAGCTACTTTATATGGATTACACAAGGGAGGGCAAGACAACATTATGACGACAGTAGGCCTACAGTTGCATGACCATATGTTGATGTGCTTGGTGCATCGTGCCCAAATATGGTTCATAACTGACAAAAGGATCAAACTGACGTCAGAGAGATAATGTGATAAGGAATTATTTCATTGGGCCCTGGCCACTGCAGATGTCTTGTAAACTTGAGACAGAGAGGATAAGAGTGCAGATGGCGTCAATATCCACAATAAACACAAGACTTTGACCGTGGCTGGCACAAACACAGTTTCTTCACTCCACTCCAGACACTGTATATGACAGGCTGTGCTGTACTGAACAACAGACAGAAGCAATACCACATTCAGATGTGAGGGGTTCACCTCTGCTTAAAAGTCATGGCTCTGGAATCAACCATTTCACCTCAACACTGCAGCCTCCCATCTGTCCAGTACCGGTACAGACATGGTGAAGAAGACAAAAAATATCAAAGCGTGAGTAAAAGGAGCTCCAAAGACTGGTACCCTCCAGACCTGGCCTTTGTGAGGAGCAGGCAGCACATAAGGAGGATGATAACGGATAAAAAGCTCAATGGACTGGTTATAGAGACGTTCCTGACACCTGCAAGAGGTTACTTACAGCACTTTGAGTCAAATTAGCAAATGAGAAGAAAGAGGTGAGAGACATAAGTTTCTTATTTTTCATTATTGTAACAGAAATGCTAGAATAGTTTCAGGTACTGTAGGTTTTGTATTGTATAGTGTGTGTGTGTGTGTGTGTATATATATATATATATATATTAATATTTAAAAAGGAGTATATTAATGAAAAACTTTGAGAACCAGTGTTTTAATGTACCCTACTGGTGCTTTCATTTTTGGAATAGCAAACACCATCTATGTACCAAAAATGTAAAAAAAAATTCAAATGACATGCTTTGCAAAAGCAAAACAAAAAAAGTTTTCAGCCTTACAGTAGTATCACAACTCCAGCTTGACTTCTGCCTGCATACTGTAACACCAAACTCTAGCAGAACAAGGGATGCTTGGATGATTTTGGACATTTATTCTAACTCTTTATGTTCTCTTCTTTTACCTTCTTTTAGGTGCTTAGCTTATCATCTGAGGGGAAGCAGTACAAGACTTCAGCACCTCACAGACTTAACAGTTACTGTCTGTCATTAATACCGTCCATGGTCACTCATCATCAATGTCAGAACTGTCAACATTCACAACATGATGTGGACTATTTAAGACTCTGTAAATATGTATAATATTTTTTGCTACTGCATATTTAATAAATATACTTTATATATGATATAAAAAGGTATACACAAATGGCGTGATTACTAATGTGATCTTTCTCATTGAAATGAATCTGTGATGATATCAGCATGAAAAGCATGAGAAGTAAAGACAATTAGAGAAATTTGGGGGAAAATGCTAATTCACTTTCTTGCAAAGGGTTCAAGAAGATGGACACCACTCTCTTCTCTGTGTGTTAAGTATGGAGCTGAAGCCAGGAGGTGGTTAGCCCAGCTTTAGATAACATAAAGACTGGAAACAAAGGGAAACAGTTAGCCTGGCTCTCTTCAAAAGGTCAGAAGTACTTTAACCAACACCCCTAAAGTTCACTATATAACTATACTATACTACTATATAACATTGTATCTCGTTTGTTTAACCTGTGCACAAACAATAGTGTAAAAATTACCATTTGTGGTTTTCATGTCTTTATGCCAAGCTAAGCTTTCTGGCTTGCACAGCCAATTGAGAGTGGTATCAATCTTCTCATCTAACTCTCAACAAGAAGTTTCCCAGCTCCAGTTTATCATGTACTGTCTCTTCAGTTGAAAAGAAGGAACAAAATAGAAGGTTACAGAAACAGCCTCCCTGTTATTAAGTGTGAGGGATTTTTAGGGTTTCAGTCCACTAAGTGTGTCTCATGCTTTTTCTGTATAAGGCAACAGGATAACTCATCTAAAGAGGTCATCATCGATCATTTTATACCATAGTTGTCACCAGCCATTTTTCTTCAACTTTTGTGAGAATCCCTTTCTGACCGCAGAATATCAGCCTGCAATACAAACAGAGACCAAATACTGTAATGCTCACACCGGCTGTGCCTTTACAATAAATCACGATTCTTCACTCGCGAGCTGACCAGAAGCTGACTGCAACTTGAGCGCTTGACCGGTCCAAGTGTGCAACATTAGCAAGTAGCATATTTCCTGTTAAGTAGACAGGTTAGTCCACCTGCTGACCATGTGTGGGGCCACAATGCCTCATCATGAAGTTTCTACTTTCGTGAGGAGCTAATTATACGTTGGGACACGCCAATGCTGACTTCTCCTGGCTTACAATCTAAACAGATGGAGCTATGAAATCCAGTGCTGAAGCCTTTTGCATCCCATTAGCCAGCAGGGAGACATCTCAATGCAAAAATAGCTTCACCGCTAACTTTAATCTCTGCACCAGACACGGTGTGGTTTTCCCGCTCAGGTAACGACTGCTATTATATTTAATGTGGAGGTTTATAATGAGGCCTTCAAAAGAGTTCTGACAGCTCAAAGAGCAGCATGGAGCACTGTGACAATGCCAGTACCAGTACATACTATAACACCACAAAATCAAAAGTGTTTTTCATAATACAATACACACTATATACCAGAGCCACTGATGAGTTTGTATGGTTCTCTCATAGAGGTATCACTGCAATGCTTGACTGGACAGTGAATGGGATTATTCTGTAGAGTAAGAGCACCATAGTGAAGGTGTTGATTTGATACAGAAAATCAGTGGACTATGAGATCCTGTTTGGCGCCTTTTGAGCTGGTGAAAGAAAAGCATAAGTAAAGCAGCTGGGCAGAAAATGTCATTCTGACTTAGTGGTTGCAGGGCTCCTTAGCGGGCTCGGTTAGGGATCACCAGACTTTAAATTAATTACTTTGAATGAATGTTGATTCATGTCTGCTGGGCGCTTAATAATAAACCAATAAATACAGCTTTAAAATTAGACTATTGGACTGCTGGACTGAGACATACCTAATGGATGTCTTACTTGTGTCAAAACAAGGTTAAATCAGGCCATTTGAATGATACATGAAAGCCTAGCAAGAAGAGTCTGAAGCTTCCCACGGTGATGCTAGTGAGAGCAGAATGACGAAGCAGGGGAGGAAAGGCCAGATCACATGTCATTTCCTGAAACATGCCAGTTCTTCCTGAAACAAGTTTCTGTACAATGCACAGGCGGTATGTCATTTCAGGATTTGAATGTTGAAAAGCTGTTTAGTGAAGTGTTGTGGGTGAGATGTCCATAATGTTCAAAGAGCCAAATACATTTTTAAACTCAACACATTGCTCTTGATGGAGAACATGCAGTAGCTCATTGTGATTATATAAAAGAAGTGAAAAGCACTGACATGGATTTGAGTCCTGAATCATCAAATTCTTTTTATTATTCCCATGTAGTCCAGCGTCATTGGGCCAAGCTCTTTCTCCAATGAGTGAAAGAAAAAGAAGCAGCTGAGAGACCTCAGCTGGACTCAGCATTGACATAATAGCTCTGCTTTAAGGCATCCACCCAGTTTGCATCTTCAATCACACCCACTTAAAGACAAAAAAGCCACTTGTTTCGCTGACTTCTGCCTCTGGTCATGATGGATGGCCTTGGCCCTTTGTTATAGCTGATTCCAGCATGTAACACAGCCAGGAAGGTTATGTAAGAGAGTGAAACTCAAGCGAGCGAGGGTGGACAATCATGACCAAATCACGTTTTCACAGAGAGAGACAGTTTCCCAAAATCATCCATCTTCTTCTCCTCTGTCTTACTGACCTTAGGCTCAAAAGCAGAGTGACCAAATCCATCAGTTAGATTCCCACCAGGAGGACCATCCAAACATTATCAATTACAGTGAGGGGGCAGAGATAGGGGATCTCAAGAAGCCATCTTGGCAGGTATAGACGTTTTACAGATGAAGAGAAATACACTTAAATAAAGGCAGGATCCTATCAAATACAGCTACTCTGTGTGTGGGATGTCTCTGCACTGGTGCCACAGGTTAAAATTACACAAACTTTCATCCATTTATTCATACAAGAGCCTTACCCATCAAAACTACTGTGTACATGAAATGTGTACAGTTGAAAAGTTCCTTTAAAAGCCCTATAAGTAACGTTTCAGCCATGCTAGCAACCTGGCTCGAGGTATGGCAATGTCAGTCTGTTGGTCAGTTCACTATTCAGGCTGAGAGCGAAATATCTCACCAACAATCAGATGGATTGACATACAATTTAGTTGAAGCTCAGTGATTTTGGTAATACCATGACTTTTCTTCTGGGGCCACAAGAAAGTCAAAATTGTCACTTATCCAGTGAAATATCTCAACATCTACTTGATGGATCGGGACACACTTTTGTACAGACATTCATTACTTTTCCTCTTTTGCCACCATGAGGTTGGTATTTATGATTTTTATTGAGATATCTCAATTATTGCAATTTGCAATGAAATTTGTCACAAACATTCATGTCCTGCTTGGAACTGTAATAGCTATGGTGATTTTTCATCTAGCGCTATGATCAGGTAAAATTTCTTATTTGTCAAATGCTTCAGTCTAAATACCTGCAAAACCAGACATTTTCCATTAGCTTGTCTTTAATCGTAATTGGCGTATTAAGTGAAATTTTGTCTTGTTGATATCTGTCTAAAATACTGTATATCTGGAGTACAATAGTGTATGACCAAGTGTGAAACGCCTGCATTCAGTCCAATATCCAAGCTATACACACACACACTGTAACCAACTCTGAAAACATCACTGAGAACCGTCCCTGCTGCATAGTGAGAGATTGAACGCTGCATACTATCACATTAACACAACACTGGCAGCAGTCCAACCATCAGACATGGACAGAGAGGAGTCTGCAGCAGCTGTGTGACAGCTCTCCCTCACAGCTTTTCATTAGTCCGATTGATTGATTGGCCCATCTGCAGACTCTCTCCATTGGTGTTAAGTAACCGTGACCGCCGACTTCTTTCAGTAATTAAGCTGTGTGTGATGGCGAGTGTGTGAACACAGGACCGCCCGCCGCAACAAAGATGGATGGTGTAGTGGTGTGTTCAAGAGAGCCCTAGCCAAGCAGTGGATTTCAGTTGAGAGTTTCAGTCATAACCATATACTGCACACACACAAATACAAACATCTGTCCTCCTTCATCACATCACTTCACAGAAGGATTAAAATTGACAGCTGGGTGGTACAATTACAACACAATGTTCCACACGTAGTGGGCCAATGGGTTCACTGTTCAGTACATGTGTGCTGCTGCACGACTGATTCAAAACACCAGGGTAATTTCACACATAAAGGTGACTGTCACTGAATGATTGATGAGAACAGTTTATATGGAGTTTTGTAGTGGCGCCCCAGAACTTCTATTTAAACTCTCTATTCAGGCTTTAGTAATTTCATTCGTTAGAGAGGTGAAATTAAATATTTTGTCCCTTAAATTAAAAAAATATTTTGATATGGTACAGTTTACTAGTTTTACTGCAGTCATGCTATAGTTTAATATGACATTCAATATCATGCTCTAGTTAATAAGGTTCAGTAATTTATGTGAACCAAACTGCACTTTTTAGTTGGAGAACAAACATCTCATCAAGACTATGTAGGAGTACAAGTTTGAGATCTCTCAACCAGCTGATTTGATGAGTATGAAGTTCATACTGACCTGGGAGCTCAAATGTAACATTTTACTGGAGTCTTCAAAATAAACAGAAATGTTATCTCACATGAAAATGATTCTGAAGTGTGCTATTCTGCTGCACTTTAGTGTGTCTTTTTAAAACTCTGCTGAAACACATTTGGGAAATTCCACCCCTTTTTATGTATTGTATCTAAAATGTGAAAAAAACATACAATAAAAGTAATTTAGAAAATTGAATTCCTTTGCCAATATATCATAAAAATGTGTCTTTACAGTAATATTTCTGTTGAATGTGGCTTATTTTTGGAGGCCAAAAATCAAGTAGCACTCTCAAACCTGGTCATTTTTCCAATTATATCCATTTATCCAATATAACATCCCATTGTAAGCCTCTGCAGAATTGACAGTGGCAATGTCCCAAACATGGATCCCTCAATGAAATGCATGCAAAGCTGTCCATGCCAGACCTCCCAGAAGACCAGTCCCATAATCGATGTTTTCCTTGAAATAGACAAAGAACAAACCTGGCGAGCTGTTGGCCTGAATCATGACCACATATCACCAAGGGCCAAACAGATTCAACCTTGGTGGTGCTCCGCAAGGTACTGCACTGTACTC